CTCCTGCTGCCCCCTCGCCCGATGAGACCTCCCGGGGAAGTGGAAGCCTCGCCCACTTCGGGGGTGCTGAGTCCCCCCTTCTTGCCCCGGCCCGGTGCGGGTGGGTGCGTGGTGGTGGGGGGACACGTGCGGGTCCCTTTGCGGGCGCTTCCGTGGCGCAAAGGAGGGCGCGCTCCCGTCTCTTTGGCGTCCGGGCTGTCTGAGCGAGGGGGAGCCCCGGCCCGGCCTGGCCCGAGGCGGCAACCCGGAGGCACGCCTGCCCAGCGGGTGGCCAGGAGCCCCGAGGGCGCCTCCAGGCGGCGGGCAACTCCGGGGGCCAGGCCGAGCGGGACTCGCCGGATGAGGCCCACGGTGGCCGTGGATCACCCGCAGGGGAGAGCTTCCCGGTGCCTTCTGGGCCTGCAACCCGGGAGAGACGGGAGGGCGGAAGCGGCCCCGTTGGAGCGGCCGGCGGAGGAGGCGCTAAACGCCGGGCCTGAGCCGCCTTCTGCTCGAGGGCTTTTCAAGACCGGGCGGGCGGGCGGAGCAGCCTCTTTCCCGGCCCCCGCCATCCAGCTCTTCTTCAGCCCGGATGCCGCCGCTGATCCCGGGAAAGCAGGAGGGGGGCGGCCCCGTTTCAGGGAGGCCGCCTCGCCGCGCGGCTCCTCCGCCCCGGCCTTGGCCTGCTTCCAGCCTTTCCCTGGCCCGAGCCGTCGCGGGTCCAGGCCCCACTAGCGCCCAGCCGAGCCGGGGTGAGCTGCAGGCTGGCCAACTATTCCGAGGCGCAGCTTCCTTGGAGAGCAACGGGGGAGACATTGGGAGGCATCTTGCAAGGGAAGGGAGGGGAGAGAGAAGGACCCCCCTCCATCGGCCAGGAGAGAACTCAAATCGGGGAGGGAACCCCCCCCGAACCCCTCCCCGTCCCTACACTTCCCTGGTGCTTAGGAGGCCACCGAGGTGTCTCGGAGGCCACAGGCCTCGGGCTCTCTTTCCGCAGGGCCGCCTGTTGCCCCGGTGGGAAGCCTGCCGGCAGGCGGAGATGCCACGGGGGCCCGTCTAGAGGGGCCTCTCTAAAAGGAATGGTACATAGAATTATGTGATATGACAATTAATAATAAACTGACATGTGATATGAAAATAAGAGGCTAATCAAAATATGATTTCATGAAAACATGGAGTATATTCTTGGAAAGTGTATTTCGGAGAGGGGAGGGATATAAACCGAGGGAAGAAACAATGAATTTTTTGAGAGAAAATTGATTGAATGAAGTTTAATGCTAGCCCTGAAGGTGATGGTGACACTATGTGATATGTATTTGTATTTTATTGAGGGTTTCTTTTTTGTGTGTGGTAGTAGGTTTATGTTGTGTAATTTAATTTAGAAAATAAGGCTAGAAGGGCCTCTCCCTGGCCGTCCAAGGCCACCTCCCGGCGGCCTGGAAGCGCCCCCCCTCCTGCCCCGGGCTTGGCGGCCTCTCGCCCACCACGAACCTGCCCAGGTCGCCCGCCGGCGGCCCCCACCCGCCCCCC